TAAGTAAATTTACATAACTAATTACATTTTTAATATATATAGTTTTCTTTGAAAACCTTAAATCGATCTCAATAGCATTACTGAAAAATCGATTTTTTTTTTTTTTTTGGTGGTTTCGGTTCACGTGCGGGGTTTTGGAATTTTGGAACAGAAAATGTACAGAGAAGCTTGATTGAAGGCATGAAGGTATGAACTAAAAATGGAAAACAAGGAAAATCACGAGTCGAGGAGAAAGGCTCGGCCATGGACTCATGTATGGCCATGGATAACCTTAAGTTGCGCAATTATCCTCCGCCTAACGATTTCTCCCCCAAACAACATAAAATGCAGATGCCTTTTCAATCGTTATGGAAGTACAATTTTGCTGAATTTCCAAATTTTTTAATTAGTAATTTAAAGGAAAAGATTAAAAAAAAAAAAAAATGGGGAAGGTAACTTTCCTCCTGGCATTCTCACTGGTAGTGTTTCTATCAATCCAGACCGTATGGGGCAACGTCGTCGATGGTGAGAAGCCAGATCTACCTTCGGGCCTTTCGTTGGATGAATTGAGCGCCACTGGGGAAAACTTCGCCAGATCTGCTGGCGACGCCTTGGAGGGTGTCATGGAATCCTCGCCGTCTTGGACTGACTGGGCCAAAGAAAAATTCGAGTAAGTATAAAGTTTCACCGTGTACTCGTTTTCTTGTTCTTAATTTATTCATTAATAATGACTGGTGGTTTTTAATTTCTGGCGCTGCGACGATCAGCGGTCTCGGCTTTAACGACTGGCTATCTTCGTTAACCTCACCTGCACCTGGTCTGGCACCGTTAGCCGCGCCTGTTTCAGCACCTGTTTCAGCACGGAAGATCGCACCACACTACGCCCCAGGGCCTTCCCCTACTTCTGTAACTGGTCTTGCATCCGATTTGGTACCGGAGTCAGCAGGCTTAGCATCTAATTTGGCAATGGAGCCCGCAGCCGCTGATGCACCGGCATTGGCACCGCGTGCATAGAGAACGGAAGGATAATATGCACCGGAAATCCAGGAAAGGAATGGATGGCTAGCTCCAGCTTTTACGTTCTTGCCAAATAAAATTTTTTTCCTCCATTCTTCACCTGTAATCTGTTAGGGTGCTTTTAGCCATTTGAATTTCCTGTTTTAATCGTCTCTGCAAGATTTATATTTCAAACCATCTTGTATGATGACTATTTTCCGATAATAAATAGATCTTCACTTTCGATCGGTCCAAATATATTGTTTCAAAAATATATTCATGCTCCTTAAAAATTATACAAAAATCAAGACATACTAAAATTAAAAAATATTAAAGTAACTAATACAGGTAAAAAGTGATGCTATATGAATAATTTTTTTATTTTATTTTTTTATATAATTTTTAAATGTTATTAAATAAGTGGATGTATTTAATATCACGAGTCTCACATGAATTAAAAAAATTAATTATTTTAATAACACATTAAATTATATACAAAATTAAGATAAAAAAATTATACAAAAATTATTTTATTACGGGTAAATATTGCATCCATGATGTGGTTAGGATGGTCCCTTTCTTTCAATTTTCTGTAAAAATATTTTGCAAGATATTTTACCTTTCTAAATATATGAATAAATGACCCCACAATTATTATGTTCAAAGTAATTAATTACCACTCTTTAAAAATATTCTTAGTCTTGATTGGAATTGCTAAGGAGGATTTTTTTTTTTATTATTATTAAGAACTTGGGATTCCTTGAATAATGAGTAAAAAATCTATTGAAACATTTATCCTTAATTGTAAGCTCTAAGTGCATGCATAACATTTATCATATTAAGACCTGGGACATTGGTTTATCAAATACATACTAATGGTGTGTGTCTCTTTTCTAATTTTCTTCAATCGTCCACAAGCTTATGAAGAATCAAAAGTTTCAATTTTCAAACGTGTTTTCAAAAGATCGATAGATACTGCACAGCATAAAGAAGTAGTGTGCTGTGTGCATCTACCTCCTATATTCTGCTTCTGATTTTTTTTTTTTTTTTGCCGCTTTTCAAGTGTTTGTGTGCTACTAAGCCAGGATAACGATACCAGTATTGGTGTTTCCAACTAAAGTTTGTGATTATTATACAATTTATACTTGATCTTTAGGGGTAAATGCTCTCTGTATCTTTATCAAATATAATCCACGGTATATATTGTGTTTTATTTTGGTTAAACCTCTAATTTAATCCCTTAATTATTGTACAAATCTTTGAGTTGATCCTTAAATTAAAAAAATTCTCGAGTTATTTTTTATAATTTTTAAATTTAATTTCAAGTTTGTCATTTTATTAAAAAATAACTATCACATCCTTTTACTATTGTGACATGTGATTGTCAGGTATCGAATATATTAACTATTATTTAATAAACGAATTAATTTAAAGTCAAATTTAAAATTTTTAAAAATTAAATCATAACTTTTTTTAATTTAAGAATTAATTTAGGAGTCTATATAATGGTTGAGGAATCAAAAATAAGAGTTTAACATTTTCATTTTTATGTCAGTTTATTATTACATTTTCTATTAAAAAATTCAAATAAAAACATCATATCCAACAGAGAAAAGGGAAAAATCATTGTAACAACAAAATCATAAGATCCAGCTGAAAAGGAAAAGAAACCAAAAAGGAAAAGACAGGAAAAGTTTCAATTAGCCTGTATAGATTATAGGGCATAAAGCGCAGAAAGCAGGGCCATATCAGACCTCCTCATTTCATTTGTGGTGAGGTTATTACCATATCCCTAACAATTAAACTCCACAATATTTATATTATTCAGACTATTTTACTTATGATTACACTAATAATTTCCTAAAGCACTTTTTTTTTTTTTTTTCTAAAGCTACCCTTATGATAAATTGGGTTACGAAAGGACCAAACTGATTGCTAAATAAATAAACTGTTCCTTAAAATTATCACATTAAAATAAGTCACCACTTAAAAAATATTGATATAATTTGTCATCTTAAACTTTTATTTTCAAGAAATTAATATAAATTTAACTGTTGTCATTAAACTCTGTCAAACTATTACTTTTAAAATCTAATGAAAAGTTAACGACAATCGTTAAATTTAAGTTAATTTCTTAAAAATTGAAATTTAAGGTGACAAATTACATGAACATATTATTTAGATGACAATTTGCTTCGATATGATAATTTTAAAGGAAAATCTATATATTCTGCCTTCTCATTAATTTACATAATCAATAAGTGAAATTGAGAATATAAAAATATTATTTTAAATTTAAAAAACATATATATCAAATTCATTGACCTTCACATATATTCCATTACTCTTGTAACTTCTTTATATATATATAGAATCTTTATATATCTTTTAACTTTATCTCACATAAAAACTCTTTTCTCCAAAGGTAATCATAAAATTACTAGATGTAATGAATATTTACTTATTGTTAAATTGCTGGACTTTGGAGTTCTAGCTTCCGAATTTTAAAATGGAGTGAGATTAGATAACTAGGAGAATGGAGGTGACAAATCTTGTGGATAAACCAAAGATCTTCGACATGATCTGATGTGGGGAGGAGAAGAAAAGAGATAGGTTGACATTTGAAGCTGACAAAAACCAACATCTCAAAATTGCGTAGCGAATTGGATCTGATCTTTTTTTTATCATAAGGAGAGGCGGGAAGAAGTTAAAATTTTTTATGAGCAATGCTAGGGGCACTCGCTTTTCGCACTCTCCGGTCAACACTTTCTCTTTTATTGGGCCACGTTATCTTGGTTCCGGAGAAGTTGCGCCTGAAAGCTTTAAAGAAGCTTACGTGGTCCAATGAAAGGGGAAGTGTCGGCCGGAGAGTGCGAAAAGCGAGTGCCCCTAGCATTGCTCATTTTTTATTTTGATTTAGAAATATTGAATAGCGAACGGGTTTGCAATGGAAGAGAAAGAGAAGCGGGAAAGAGTTTTTACAATTATCGTAGAAATGGAAAAAGAACGACAAAATAAAATGAAAAATGGAGATGCGGGGTATCGATCCCCGTACCTCTCGCATGCTAAGCGAGCGCTCTACCATCTGAGCTACATCCCCTTTTTCTGAAGCACTTTAACAAACAACGTTAAAGTATATAATACATTCTTTCAACATATCGATTTTATTTTATTTATTATTATTATTTTTGGGATTCGGTTTATGGCAGGTTTTGGAACAGAAAACGTAAAGAGAAGCTTGATTGGATTGAAGGCATGAAGGTATGAACTAAAAATGGAAAATAAAAGAAAAATCACGAGTCACAGAGAAAGACATGGCCATGGATATGTTTTTTTTTTTATCGTTCAAATGTATGGCCATGGATATAACCTTAAGCTGCGCAATCATCCTCCGCCCTGCGATTTCTCGCCCTGAACAAGATAAATGCAGATTCCACTTCAATCCTTATGGAAGCACAATTCTGTTGAATTTCAAAAGTTTTCATCTCTCAAACAGGAAATTCAAAAGATATCAACTAGTAATTTAAAGGAAAAGATCAAAAAATGGCGAAGGTAACTTTCCTACTTGCATTCTCACTGGTAGTGTTTCTGTCAATCCAGACGGTATTGGGCGATGATGTCGAGAACCCAAATGCATTTTCCGGGCTTTCGTTGGATGAATTGAGCGCCGTTGCGGAAAGCATCGCCAAAGCTACCGGAGACGCCTTAGAGGATGCCATGGAATCCTCGCCGTCTTGGGCTGACTGGGCCAAAGGAAAATTCGAGTAAGTATAAGTTTTGCCGTGTATTTGTCTTTTTGTCCTTAATTTAAATGACTGATGGTTTTTAATTTCTGGTGCCGCGACGATCAGCGGTCTCGGCCTTAACGACTGGCTGTCTTCCTTAACCTCACCTGCACCTGGTCTGGCGCCGTCAGCCGCGCCTGTATCAGCACCTGTTTCAGCACGGAAGATCGCACCACACCACGCCCCAAGGTCTTCCCCCGCCCCGGAACCGGGTTCTGCACTCGATTTGGCGCCGGAGTCAGCAGACTTAGCACCTGAATTGGCAATGGGATCCTCATCTGAATGGGACTATACATCCGCAGATGCACCGGCACCAGCTGCATAGATAATGGAAAACAACGACCAGAGTGTGGGAATGGATAGCTAGCTCTAGCTTTAATACCAAATTCCCAAAAATAGTTCTTTTATATATTGTTCAATAAAATGCAATTCTACGTGACATCCACGCCCTTTCCTTTCTCCATTCTTCATCTGTAATATGTTAAGCTGCTTTTAGCAGTTGAACTTTATGTTTTAATTGTCTCTGCAAGTTTTGTATTTCGAACTATATTTTTTGTATGAAGATTATATTTTCTAATGATAAATAAATATTAACTGTTGGCTATAAAAAAATTTTGTTTCAAAATATATACATACTTCTCATACAGAAAATCTAGACGATTTGAAACTAAAAAATGTTCAGCTATCTAATACAGATAGATTGCATCAATTAGACGTTTAATACTGTTTACCACCCCTTCCTTGAATTTTTTTTTGTTATAACAATTTGTAATTACTGTTACTATCAATAAAGTTTGAGATTTGTGTTTTACAAAATTTGAAAGTGTGTTACAAATAAGGACTGCAGTCAAAAACCTTGATCTTATATCCACCTTCCCGTGTACCCAAAATGAAAAATTAAAAGAGAATGTCGCTAACACTTGTTCTCCCTAAAATTGAAGACTGCACATCCTGATCATTGTATATATATTTGCATTTGATCTATTTTAATGAGAGGGTCAAGAGTGGACGTCATCATCCAGAAGGAGCAGAACATAATTGAGACGAATTCCTTTTTAGATTTAAAATCTGAATTTTGAATTTGAAAACTCTCAAGAGAGTCATGAGCTTGTTGCTCAAGGATCGATTTATTTGTTTCTTTTTTTGGAAGGCAGGGGGGCAACGACATACTTCCAAGTTACCAAATTTTATATATATATATAGCAGTTTTTAATCTAAAATCATCAAAATCCACAACCCCAACTCAATTTCTTGGTCAAACCAACTAATAATACCAGGCTTCATGCTAGAACTCAATTCATAATCCATGGTTGCCTGGCCTTAGCCATGCATCAACTCAAAAAGAGATCATAAAGATGATATTCATGCGAAGGACACTACATAACTTAAAAAAGATAAATAAACACAAGATTTTGTTTGGGAGAAGTACTAATACAGCTTAAAATGAAGAAATATTGCACAAATCTCATCAGATCTCCAGTTAATCAATCCATCTTCTCCTTCTATACACAAATCCCATTTTCCCCTTTCCACTCATCTACTGATCAGTCTGATCCTGTTGCTGCTTCTTCATATTGCTCTTATTATTATGCATCCAAACCTTAAAAACCTGCCTCTTCACTCCTACCTCAGCACAAAACTTCTCCACTTCGTCCTCTTCTTGCTTGTTAATCCTCCAACCCAATTTCTCCGCGAACTCCAGCATCTTCTCCCTCTGTTCCTGCGTAAACTTCGTCCGGAACCGCTTCTTGGACAGCACGAAAGGAGGAGGCGGTGGCATTCCTTCATTGTTAGACTGGAACACGTTGAGATCCTCGCTTGAAGACTCGGTTCCACCGCTGGCGCCACCAAAGGCTACATTCATGGGTGTAACCATTGCACTAGAGGGACTCGGATGCATCGAGTATTTCAACATGGTTGGGGATGGCAGCGGCGGTGGCAGCTGGAGCGGGTTCAGCATGAGAGCTCTCCTGCTTGAGTTCCCCCCGAATTGGGTCTCCCCGTCCACCTCCTTGCGATGGAAGTTGCGGTGGCAGTCACACGCCGCACATTTCAAGGCTTCCAGCGTTCCTTCTTCCCCGCTGGGCATGAACTCACCGCACCCATCAAAAACGTTTCCGCCAACGCTGGCCGCATGGTTCTTGAGACACTCCCTGTATCGGATCCCCTTAGAAATGGGTGCAATCATGCCTCGATCTGGGTTTGGAGATCTTCCTTGATGCTGTTTTTGCAGACGATGAACATGATCTAGGGATTCAGTGCAAGTTAGTACACCACTCCCATTATGGTTCCCATCCCTCCTCCTCTCCATACCCAGTGAATGATGCCCATAGCCGGAAGGTACCAGTGGTTTAACATCATATTCTTGCTCTCTTACTTCCATTTCCAAAAAAATGTTCTCTTTTTCTAGTCTAGATATTATATCTAGGTTTTTTAACACCTCCGAGAAAGAAAACGAAGGAAAGAGGTAGGGAATGAATGGATTGGGGTTTAGGTAAGTTAAGGAGGAGAGGTGGCCGTGCTTCTGTGCTTCCAACAAGCTAATTAATCAGCCACATGTTATCCAACAAGGGACAAGTCGGTTGCTTGTGGTGAGGCCAGAAGGAAAGATAAGGTTTAATATGTTGTTTGGAGGGAGAGAAAATGAAGGGAAAGGAGAAGAAAGTAAAAGAGAGGAGTGGGAGGAGGAGGTTGTAATGAGAATAAGAGGGGTTTTGAATTTTGGTTCCTTTTTCTGTGTTGTGAATGAACAAAACAACCGACAACGTCATGTTCATCCTCCTTCCCACGCCCTGCCACGGCGGGCCCACCTCATTTCCCCACCCTTCATTATTGCCCCTCTACCCATCTTGAACCCAGACCTACCATTATCCCCAAAATAACCAAACAAGCTCTGTGGATCCTAAAGGGGAAATTGCCTCCTTTATGATTCATAATCTCCTTAAATAAACCTAAACTTTCGTGAATAAAACACGAATTCGAATGGTAATAAACGTTCCATCATGAACTAACAGACAATAGTCCTGCTTTGCTTGTCCTAATGAATTAGTAATAAATACCAACTATTTATTAGTTTGAGCAAAAAAATTTAATTTCTTTTAAATAAAATTTTGAATTTAAATCTTATAAATAAAAAAATATGTATCAAAAGAGTTTTTTTATATGGTCCAATCCAGCTCAACTTCAAATTAATCAAAATTCAATGTAACTTTTGGATACGGTAAAAAAAAAAAAACTAGTAATAAATTATTTCTGCATAAAAACAATAAAAGGAACTATTATTTATTACAATTAAATAAAAAAGTCACTGCTTATAGAATAGAGATTATGAATGAGAATATTATGTAATTTAATACAATTAAAATTATATAATATTTTTTCTTCATTTAATAAAAAAAAAAAGATGTAATATAATAGCTACGTGTTGTCAAAACTTTATTACTAATGAGTTGAAATTGTAATGACATTCAAGCAGACATATTCTTGAATGCTAGGCCTAACATTTGAACTGAACCTGCAAAACTATAATTACTAGTGGCATTCAATATTTGTATTGTAATGAAACTATTTTTTTTTTTCTTCTTTTTTTCATACCCAAACTCGATTGTATTAAACTTAGCCAATTTGAACTATGAAAATAATGTTTTGTTATTTCGTAATTGCTAAAAAGATACTTTTCTTATAATTTGGGTTGCATACGTGGTTGCAATCTCATAATATTTTTTTTTCATACAACAACTCATTAAAATTGTTAATTTATTAAAATTAAATTATTTTTAATTACTATTTTATTTAATTTAGTAATTGTATCGGCGTATGACACTTTCTTCAAAGCAATTATTAAATAATGCAATAGTTTGTGTGATGGTAAAATACCTTAAAAACTATAATCACAATATTTTCACAACAATTTTAAACAGTAAGCTTTATTATATGTTTGGATTTAAGTGAATTGAGAGAAGAGGAGAGAAGGAGAAGGGAGAGTTTTTTTAGTACATTCAAATATAACGTTTTTAAATATTAGAATATAAATGATTAAAAAGTCTTTCTCTCCCCTCTTCTCAATCTTACTTAACATACTATTAGTGTCTTTTCAAAGTTAAAATTAGATTTAAGTTTTTTTTTAAATATTTCTAAGTGGAAAGGAAGGGTTTTTTTTTTTTCTTGAAAAAGGAAAAATTAAACTTAATGTTTAAACATCCAATAATAATTATATAATAATAATAGTAAAGTTAAAATTTAAATTATATTATTCTTTACTAACTATAATAAAATATCTTAATATTTTTAATTTCAATATATTTTAATTTTGAACTTGACTTAGTAGCCAAGTGACGTTAGTCACTATTGTAGGTTAATTTCTCCTTTGGGCTATGGTTCTGTCGGCCCCTTAACAAAATGATCAAAAAATATATATATATATATATATATTTTTTAATTTTAATTTTTGTTTTTAACAAAAAGAAAAGAAAGTATTTGACCTAACTTAAAATTCTGAGGCAGCACTAAGAGTGAAAAGAGATGTGTTGAAGACTTGAAATGGATGGTCCACAGTGGAGTTGTTGTCGTGATGCATAACATAGTGAATGGGATTGTGCAGCAGACAGGGGCGTGGCAGGCACCCACGCTTGCCCCCAAGCAATGTCCTCACCTTTCCCTCCTGCAATCGAGTGCCTTTATTTGTCTCTGCTTTGGTACTTGGCTTTACTGTTCTCTCATTTTTTTCATTTTTCTGAGATCTGAATTTGCTTGCAGCTCCAGCTGCAGGATGCAGGTGCAGGCAGGGGTTTCAGCCAATGGCTTTTGTGACGCGAGAATCCTCCCACCCTGGAAATCAACATTTATCATCAATCATGTTTTTGTTTCAGTTTTATCACGTCATCTATCTCTGAAAATTTGCACAAATTTGTAGTGCTGAGAGTGACCCATTTGCCATTTCAGCTTCTTTTATGTCTTCTCACGTCGCACTCACCCTCTGCTCTTTCTATGCTCCGACCAATTCATACTGAAAAGCAAGACATTATAATATTAATATTATATTTAATTATTACCATATGGTAAAAGTTGATTCAACTTCTCAATTCAGCTCCAATCCATCTAACTAAAGGGCCAAAGGTTCCATTCAAAAAATTAAAATTAAAAACTAAAGGGCCAAAGGGGATATTTTTACAAGTTCTAAATGGGAGCAGAACTTCCAAGTTTCCAACCAATGCCCTCAAACACAGGCTCTGAAGGGTGGACCAATTGGCCCTATAGGGCTGGTTCGTACGAACTTTGGGTTGCCAGTGCCATGGCCTCAACAGTCTAACCACAAAGTTGAGTTTTTTTTTTTTTTTTTACTTCGAATTTAGAACGGTTGTCCTCCCCTCGGTGAGGGTGACCCTTTATTTTTTGAACTTCCCATAAATTCATACTTTCATAGGCTGACAATGAGCCCAGCAAGGTGTGCAATCCCTCTTCAAAGGATGCTTAGCAACCCAGTCTCAAATCCTATTAGCAAATCTAGGAGGAATCGGTACGAACTCAGAGTGACTGGGATCAGTAGGGCTCTCTGCCATGGTAAACTCCCTCTTTTCTTCACTACAAAGACAAAAAAAATATGCAAATAAAAAAAAAA